TTGTAGTAATAATTGCCCGAGCTGGTCATGAAAGGAGTGTAGTGTTTGTCGCTCATTGCCATTTGGATTTGGTTATAGCCCGAATAGGCATCCATGAAAGATAAAATTTTATAGTCGGCCGAGTTGTCGACCAGCATATCAATATTAGGTAAAGGAAATGCATCTTTGGGGAATGCCCGACTAAGATCGTTATAGTCAACACACATACGCCAGTTTCCATTATTCTTTTTAACGAGTACAATGTTTGATAACCAGGTTGAATACCGGGTTTCAGAAATAAAATTTTCCTCTAGGAGGTCTTTTACAGCTTTTTCAGCAGCCTCCGTTTTCTCGGGGGACTGCCTATGCCTACGTTGTACTACTTCCCTAGTGGCTGGATCAATGGCGAGTTGATGAAAAGCAACCTCGGGGTCGAGACCGGGCATCTCCATGGCGCTCCACACGAAAAGATATGTATTCTCCCTCAAGCAGGATTTGATCCGCTTCCTCGCCAGGTCAGGGAGTCCGGTGCCGATCTTCACCCCTCTATTCAGGTTTTCACCGAGAGGGACGAGCTCGAAGTCCCCATCCAGAATTGGTCGGAGGAGCTCCTACTCGCTGTTGGAAGATTTGTCTTGGTCGAAGCGGGTGTCCAATGAGATCGAGTCGACCTTTGGAGAAGCCCTATGCACTTCTTCCTTGATGGGTTATGGCTCTGGTCGCGCTGTTGCAGCTTTCTTGGCGTGCCGTGCCCCGGTGTCGACTATGTTGTGTCCCTTGGCATCCGCATTGAAGCATCTTCGGGAATCTGCTAGGTCTCCCTGGATGGTGGCGACGCGTGCCCTCATTGTGTAGAACTTCATCTTCAGATGGATAGCGAAGGGCACCACGGTCAACTCTGCCAGTGTCGGCCTCCCAAGGATGTAGTTGTAGAGGGAGGGACAGTCGATAACCAAGAAACACACCTTGACTTGCTTGGTAGCAGTGTCTTCGCCGAAGGTGACCATTAGCTCCATGTACCCCCATGGCTTAGAGGTCGAGCCATTAAATCCCTGCAGGTCGGATCCCACGTATGGTGAGAGGTGTGAGTCGTCGAGTTGCAGGGTTCTGAAAAGCTGGTTATACATCACGTCGAAATAACTTCCCTCGTCGACCAGGATGCGATGAACATCAATGTTAGCCATTCTCTCCCTGATCAGGAGAGGGGTGGCTGAATTGGGGGGCCCTCCGGGCAATTCCTCGAAGTAAAAGGTGATCGGCTCCAATCTGCCCTTAATTCTCTCGAAGGTCACCATTTGCGATGGGTCGCATCGAACAACTCGTCCAACTTCCTCTTCGCTGAATTTATAGTTATGTCATTAAACCCTCACCATTTATGACCATGGCAGAGGGGAAACCTTCCCACATGCTGTGCATGGACAGAGGCTATTCCATGTGTTCGGGGATGTAGAAGTCCTCCGGTCTCGTAACGGAGAATGCGGTCTGGATGGGAACCGACTCGTCAGATGGTCGGGCATCCTCCTCTATCTCCCTTGTTTCGCGGGCATCTCGAAGGGGGGCGTCACCGCGCCGATATTGCCCAAGTCTTCCCCCTTTTATGAGGGTCTCAATAGCATCTTTGAGATGGACACAATCTTCAGTCAAGTGTCCATGGATTTGGTGGTATTGGAAGTATTTGCTCCGATTTGCCCCGGGTTTAGCAAGAGCGGGGCGAGGACGCTTGACGTTGCCGTCCTTGAAATCTGTGTTTGTACATTCCGCCAAAATGCGCTCGCGGGAAGCCGTTAGCGGAGTGTACTCAGTAAACCTCCCTGAGGGTCCTCTTTGCTCACGAGGGTCTCGGGATTTGTCATCCCTTCTCTTCTCGCTAGTTCGTCGAGGAGGGTCGGAGTCTTGTCGTAGATTACTAGTTGATCCACGATTCCTGGGGTCCCGGGCTCTATTGGCCGTTTCCCTCTTTTCGTAGTCCATGTATGCTCTGGGTTTCTCGAGGAGGGCATCAAATGTCCGAGGCGGTTCGATGCCTACGGCCTTTCTGAATTCCGTGCCCGGGAGGAGTCCCCTTTCGAGCAGGTATCTCTTCATGTGATCGGTGCAGGGGACTTGGATGGCCTCCCGATTGAACCGATCAATAAATTCCCCCAGGGTCTCGTCGTGTCTCTGGACGATATCCTCGAGGGTTGCTTCGGTATATGGGTGTCATCGTGAAGCAGTGAACGAACTGAAGAATTGGTTATTTAAATTTTGCTAGGAGGTAATTGACCCTAGGGCGAGACTCTTGTACCAGTCCATCGCAGCTTTCCTCAAAGTCGTGGGGAACAACCGACATTTGATTGGTCCCCCGACATTATGGTAATGCAGCATTGTCTTGAACCCATCTATGTGGTCGATCGGGTCGGCAATGTCGTCGTACTCTTTAAGATGGGGAGGCTTCTCCATCCCCTGGGGGATGGGTTCCTCCATGATGGCTTGTGACAAGGGACCGTGGGGGTCGTCTTCGTTACTCCTATCTGGCGAGCGAGAGGGAGATCTGTTGTGGTGGTTGTGGCGTCCCTGGTCGCGCGGAGCGTTCCTTAGGCGGTATGGTCGTTCGTTATTTCTCCTGCTGTCTCCAAGGGGTATTTGTTCCTGATGCGAGGGGACATGATGGTGTCTCCCCGTGTCAACGGGCTAGTCCCTCTCCAATGCGGGGCATCGCCCGATTGGTCGGGGAGAAGGACTTCGAGAGACGTCTCGCCTACATCTCTGCGGGGGAGATTGGGGATGTTCCTCTACTTGGCGAGGAGGAGGAGACTGGGGCCTCCTGTGTCTTCTGGGGGCTCTCCAAGCATCTTCGAGCGCCCTGAATCTCTCTCCTTGAGAGAAAATCAGGTAATTCGTCTGATTTATCACCGTGAATAGTGCCCTGGTCGTGGCGCCTGCTCCGGCGGGAATGAGGACCTCATGGAACTGGTTGGTCTGATAGTTCTGAGGAGGTGGCCGATCGTCTTCAAGTCGGCGAGATAGTGATGATGACGAAGCAGTTGCTCTGTCTCTATATTCTGAAGGCCCGAGCATATTAACGGTGGGGGCCGTGTTGTGGCGAGCAGTACCAGCATTGTCGATGTCGGTATTATCGACGATGTTGTTGTTGGCGTCGATGATACGGACATTCAAGTTGTTTTCTATTGTTTGATCAACCATGATAGTCAAAAGGGTGATTTAGGTTTAGTCTTGAGTAAATGGAAGACGGGGAAGCAAGTTTCCCACAGAAGGCACCACTGATCGTACCTGACCAGAATGAACCGTCACAGCTAGCTCGAGCAGAAGTTGAGAGTAAGGTGGGGGGGGGGGGGGGGGTACCTGCAAGACACTCTGATGCCAAAGTGAGTTTGGGAATGAGCAAGCAAGTGTGAGTTTAGAAAGTGTTGAATACCTGACCCTCTCGAAAGAGAGGGTATTTATAGCCCCCAGCGTTGGGCCAAGGTCTCTTTATTGGGCTGGTCAAGCAGGCCCAATATAGAGACTGTCAGGTCATACGTGAGTAGTGGGGACCCGCACGTGGTCTCCTACCTGGATGACGTCCTCCGCAAGGTCAGGAGGATATGGATGCGATCTTTCTAGGACCACGAAGACTCTGTAATATCCGGAGAAGTTGGTAATCATCCCTACGAGGAGGGTGCTCGGGAGGAGCACCTGCTCGTCATGGGTGATCCCTGCCATACGCGAGGTCGATAGGGGACCAATCTTGGTCGACGAGCTAATTGAGGTGTCCTCGAAGTCTTCATGGTCGGAGGTGACCGTTCTCAGTCTACTCGGGGCGTTGTCCCCGCATGGTGAGGTTGTATCCTCGTGGGGAAAAGATGGTAGTTGCCCGCCGTCTTTGAGGATAGAATCGACCAGTGGTGCAGATTGAACGATTTGGATTGGACCTCACTGGGAGTTGGGCCAAGGACAAACCCAACCCAGAACAATTATTGTCAATTTAGTTTAGAAAAATCCCTCTCTCTATTTTTTCATAAAAAGTTGTTGATTTACAAATATCTTACACTAATACAGAAATATAAATGTTGTCGTTTTCGAAAATTATATTTAATACGAATATTTATATATATTTAACTCAACTAAGAGATATCGCTTGAATTATCCCACTCAACTCTCTTTTATTAAAAGATTGATATGACTGGAGATAAAAAAAAAGTAATTATATGATAAATTTATCAATGAAGACTATATTACTTTTATATATATTTATTTTTAAATTTATTGATTTTTTTTACTAAAGGTTTATTAATACTATAATAGAAAATTTATATTTCCAAAAAAAAATTAAATATTGTATTTTTGTAAAAAAATATTATTAGTGTAGGTTAAATTTTACAAAATATCTTATTTTAAATGCCAAAGAAAAAGTAGAAAAATTTATATAATAAAAAAAATCCAATGAATATAATATATTTGTGCAGAAACATCTAACGGTAAAGACGAGAGGGTTCGAATTTCAAACTTAAGACACTTATTCAACTTTAAGTTTTACAAAAGAAATTATATTACACGAAAAAACTAATCATATATTTTGTTTTTATTACATTTATTACTCAAAATAATTTGATATTTAAATACTCTCTCCGTTTTTAAATATAAGTAATATTAAAAAATCTACACTAAATTTTAACAGTTAAAAAGATCAAACAAATAGTCATTCAAAAAATATATATATATATTTGACTAATATTAAAAAATAAATTTGACTAAAATTTGACGTTGATATATATAAATACAGTGTTACTTACTTTTACCATTTTCGTTTCCATTGCAATACCCAAAACAAAATATTAATAGAAACTCACTTATATTCTCTTTCAAAGTTAAAAAAATTCAAATAAAATATTTTTAACTTTATTCAAGATGGAAATTTCAGTCTAAAAATAAAAAATATTCAAAGATGGACCTTTAAATAATATATTAACTCATAATCCTCTCTCTATATATATCGACCATATGTTTGTGTTTTCTCAACAACTAGCCTATCTCATCATATCATGGAGAGTCTAACATTCCAAAATTCTTATGTAATTTTCTTTGTGTGCATAGTTTTTTCTACGTCGCTTGTTTTTGTCTAAGAAAATAAACATTTCTCATTATTATTATTATTATTATTATTATTACTATTATTATTATTATTTTTTTTTTTATTATTATTATTAACTATATTTTTCATGCAGATTATTTGTGTGATCTCTGTAGCTGTGATATTGGGATCACTAGCAGAATGCAGAGTGCAAACTTCTAAATTGGCCAGCTTTGATTACCCAGCCATTAATTGCAGAAAACACAGTGCAGTTTTGACAGATTTTGGTGCAGTTGGTGATGGCAAAACCTCTAACACCAAGGCTTTTAATTCAGCAATATCAAAACTTAGCCAATATTCAAATGATGGTGGTGCACAACTCATTGTTCCACCAGGTAAATGGTTAACAGGAAGCTTCAATCTCACAAGCCATTTCACTCTTTTTCTCCAAAAAGACGCTGTCATTCTCGCATCTCAGGTATGTATATACTTATATTCTTGCATATCAAAGTTTTATAATCAATGAAAGAGTTATTTAATTTTCATGATATACATAGGATGAATCCGAATGGCCTCAACTTCCTATATTACCTTCTTATGGAAGAGGAAGAGATGCACCTAAAGGAAGATATAGTAGTCTCATTTTCGGAACAAACCTCACCGATGTTATAATAACCGGTAACTATTTACACCGTTATTAAAGATTGTAAAGTTTATGTTAAAATATGGAAGTAACTCTTCAATTTAACCTATTTGAATTTTTTCATAAGGTAACAATGGAACAATTGATGGACAAGGATCTTCTTGGTGGAAAAAGTTCAAGTCAGGTGAATTGAAACTTACTAGGCCATACATGATTGAACTCATGTACTCTGATCAAATACAGATCTCACATCTCACTTTGATTAACTCTCCAACTTGGTTTGTCCATCCAATTTATAGCAGGTTTGATGAAACACCATTTTTCAATTTTTCATAACGTTAAGGCGTTATATTATTTCATTATTGTAATCAATCCCTCTATTTTTTCATCAGTAACATAATTGTAAATGGACTCACCATTCTTGCACCAGTGGATTCTCCAAACACAGATGGAATAAATCCAGGTAATATATTATATGCATAATTTCACCAACTTTTGATGACAAATAGAGCATGACGAAATGATAATTTTTCTTAACAGATTCGTCAACGAACGTTAGGATTGAAGACAACTACATTGTATCTGGTGACGATTGTATCGCGATAAAAAGTGGATGGGATGAGTACGGAATCAAAGTCGGAAAGCCATCTCAACACATTATCATAAGAAGGTTAACATGTATATCGCCCGATAGTGCTATGATTGCGTTAGGGAGTGAAATGTCTGGCGGAATCCAAGATGTAAGAGCTGAAGACATAACTGCTATTACAACAGAATCAGCTGTTAGAATCAAATCCGCTATCGGTAGAGGCGCATTTGTGAAGGACATTTTTGTTAAAGGAATGAATTTGAACACAATGAAATATGTGTTTTGGATGACAGGGACTTATGGAGACCACCCTGATAAAGGTTTTGATCCACGGGCACTGCCGAAAGTTAGTGGAATAAATTATAGAGATGTTACTGCTAAGAATGTGACATTTGCAGGTAAACTAGAAGGAATTTCTAATGACCCTTTTACTGGAATATGTGTTTCTAATGTGACTATTGAGATGAGTGAACAAAGGTCAAAGAAGAAACTTCCATGGAATTGTACTGATGTTGCTGGAGTTTCAAGCAATGTGAGTCCTCAACCTTGTGAATTGCTTCCAGTGAAGAAAGATAAATTGGATTGTGCTTATCCAACTGACAAATTGCCCATTGAAAATGTTCAGTTCAAGTCTTGTTCCTTTAAGAGTAGTGCCTTTTAATAATAATATGGACGATGTATTTAAACTTTTACACTATTATATAGTGTCATTGTTATTACGAAAGAAAAGGTTGTTTTCTTTCATAAGGATATGTTTGCTAGTAAATGTTTTAAAAGGAACTAATAATATAAATAATATTTATCTATTTATAACTGTTGGATCTTAAGCACACAGTCTAAAAAAATAACATTATTTTTTACATAATTAATAACTGTTTAATCTCAATTCAGAAATCGGATTAGCCCGTCAATTATGAATAGTCGACAATCAATCATGGCTAGAAAAAGTATTAACACCTTATTTTCTAATAAATATTGTTAAAACACTCTCTTTTTATTTATTCGTTCATGATTTTAAAAGTTTCAATAAAATTAAAATCAAAATCAAAATTTAACAAACTTGATAATTATAAGTTTTTGTAAAATAATTTTAATTTATAATATATGAACATAAGTGTTTTCTATTTAATCATGGTATTTATAATATTAAAAAACTATATATTTACGAAAGATAATATTAGACCTTTAAATTTCAAAATCTTAATTAAAATACTCTTTGGTCAACTATTGAAAATAATAATAATAATTAAGTGTGGAGGTACAATAATAATAATAATAATAATAATAATAATAATAATAATAATAATAATAATAATAATTATTATTATTATTATTATTATTATTATTATTATTATTATTATTATTATTATTATTATTATTATTATTATTATTATTATTATTATTATTATTATTATTATTATTATTATTATTATTATTATTATTATTACTATTATTATTATTATTATTTTGAAATCAAGAATATATGGATAATGAATTAAAAAACAATTATAAACAAGGTGATCCTTAATATCGAACCCACCAAAACACCTGAGCAAGATAAAAGGTCCTAAGAGCTAAGGCATCAAAAGATAAACAATGTGATGTCTTAACTTAGGTTTAGTCCAAAAACCTATTTACAATGACATGAACAATATAATATCCTATATTACTATTATTATGTGTATTGTTAAAACAATGTGAATTTCTATACCTAACTCTCATAAACTGTCTCACTAAAAGCACATTTGAGGAACTCTGCTCTCCATCCTTTTACTTTACAACCATTTATGATCCAATTTAATTCCTCTTATCAACCACCTGGGGTGTGAGTAGTTTGAAGCCATAGCATGAAGCCAAATTTTCTTCATTTCATCACAAATCAAATAGCGAATGTTTTAAAGTTTCTTGTTGATCACAAAAATATCAATTGTTATTCATAATTATGTCAAACCTCTTAAGTCTTTACTTTGTAGCCAACCTATCTTGGCATGCCATCAGAGAACAAAAATGTATCTAGGTCTAGCCATGTTGTCATACATCAATTTCCTCCACACGACATATTGTTTAGGGTCTTTTAAATGGAAGTACATATCTCTAGTATGATAAGTGGAAGCTTGATGAAGCCTATTCCACAGTTGTTGATTATGCAGGTAGCTTTTCTGTTTAAGGATAGCTTTCAATATCCAAGAACAAGACTTTTTAATTGGAACAATCATGATGTTATCACTTTTTAAATAATAGAAGTGCACACATTTAATCTACAAACTCTATCTCTCTTGCCACTAAGGTCCATAGCAGTTTTATCAAGCAGGCTTGGATCTGATCCTTAATAGAAATAATGTGTAGGCCATCCCAATTCTTAGGAGCACAGATGCTATGCCAAGCAACATGGAATTTTCTACTAATAGTATCACCACCAACCCAGAGAAAAGATCTATAGAAAGCATAAATTTTCTGAATGATTTTCTTAAGCAGCGAGATGCATTGCTTCCAATAATTTGTGACAACAAACAAACCACTCTTAATCAGCTGCACTTTCCCAGTAAAGCTAAGAAGCATAAAATTCCAATGTCTAATCCTAGCAACAATCTTATCAACTAGTATAAGACAATGATGGATAGATATTTTCTTACTATTGAGAGGCACACTAAGATATCTGAATGGGAGAGGGCCTTCTTTGAACATATTTACCTTTTAAATCTCCTACTTGGTTTGCGTGTCTATATTGCCAAAATAAACATTGTATTTTGAAGGGTTGATAGCTAGGCCTGTAGACTTGGAGAGTTCCTCAAAAGCTTCCATGAATAAGCTTATGCACTTTGTGTCTCCCCTTACAAACAGAATGAGGTCATCAACAAAACTCAGGTGGGTGATATTCAAGTTTTCACATTTAGATTGATAATTAAAATCAGGAGTGAACTTCAATCTTTGCATAATCCTATTGAGATACTCCATAATAATAACAAAGAGTAAGGGAGATAGGGGATCCCCTGCCTGAGATCTCTTTTAGCTTTGACGATTCTTGTATACTCCCTATTGATTCTAAACCTGTAGGATATTGTAGAGATATATAACATTGAAGATTAAGAAAACACAAGAAATGAGGGGTTTGAATTGGATTTCAAGATTAAAACTTTTTTTGATACCCATGAAAACAATCAAAGAATTAAGAATAAAAATAATTAACACAATATTTTTATCCTAGATCGCTATTAACGAAGCTCCTGATGAATGCTTGATTCACATAAATTATCACATCATTTCATGACATTTAGCTTACTTAATTAACAAGATTATAACATACAAACCTCAACTGTTGACTAAAAATGTTATTGTGCAAAGTTTACTTGGTTTGGTTGTCTTTTGTGCATGTTTTAGCCATTAAAGAAAATAACCAGAAAACAGATACTTCGCTAAGAGAAAGTTGCAGCGAACAATTTGCTTAGTGAACTTCTAGCAAATGAAGTCAGAAGCAAATCACCCAGTTTCTCCAGCAGTGAGGAGCAGCGAAGCAACTTTTCTTAGTGAATTGAGCCTTCGCTTAGCGAAACAAGACGGTCTAAAGAAGATATTTTGAAAAGACCTCGGGCTGAAGAAATCAACTTCACTAAGCGAGCCTCACCTCGCTTAGCGAACTTTGGCGGTTTCAGAAGACAAGTTGATTTGAAAACTTAACATAGAAGAAAAGACTTCGCTTAGCAAAGTATAGTTCGCTTAGCAAACTCAGGCGGCCAGAACTACTATAAAAGGGACAGAACTCAGTTCAGTTTGGAGATTCTAGTTTTTATCACTTGTAATAACATAATACATCATTTGTAATAGCAGTAGAATAGGTGTAGAGGAGATTGTAAGGAGAAGGAGTTGGATTCGTATCAAGAGTCGGGAAATCATCGTTGATGTTGTTTCAACTCAATTCTCCACTTGTGCTTCAAGCTACCATGAGTAGCTAAATCCCTTTCTTGTTGGGATTGATCGTAGTTCATCGAAACAATATGTATTTTCTTTAATCATGGCGTTATATGTAATTTATGTTTGAATGATTATCGTTGTTATCTTTGTTTTACCGTTTATTTCATGGATTGAATTGATATTGACAAATATGATTCTAATCTCGATCTAAGATAACAATTATTAAACTCTAAATGCTAGACATAGATTTAAGTTTAATATTCACTAAAAGTATTGAATCTTAATGCTACCGTATTGTTTAATAGGCTAAGGAATCGTCGATTAAACTATAAGGTAGAAATCACATCAAAGTTTAGACTTGAGCTTTGTTTGTGTGTGATACATGATGATAATGAAACATTCTTAAAACATGTATAACTGATTTCTGATATGCATATTGAATCGGCGAACAAACACCGATTTCCAACAAGTATATTCCTCCGAATTTAATCTTTCGTTATTTTAGACATTTACTTTTAGTTACTTATAAACCAAACAAATCTTGAAACTTATGCTTAGAATAATATAAACTATTGAACGGTTTTGATATCGCTCTAATCTCTGCGGATACCATAAAATAATATTTTCATTTGATTTTACTCAACATCAGCCGATAAAACAATACTTTCATTTGATTTTATTCAATATCAGTTATTTCCAGTCCACCCGCCAAAGTGATTTGGCTTTCTCATAAGGAATTAATCCACTATAACCAAAATTGATTACAACCACAAAGACCTACTGTCAATGTCTTCTTGAGAATTGTAACTATACTGAAGTCTCTCAAGGAATAACAAATCAAAAGTTGAGATACAAAAGATGTGTTTACAAAGTTGCTTCTATAAAGCTGATTACACAAAATGAAATACAATGATTAACACAAAAGTGTTTAAGATCAAGTGTATGAACAAAAGTTCCTTTCTTAATGTTTCTTGTTTCTCAGAGTTCCAACATTTTTGTTCAAGAGTTCAAAATTATTCAAAAGTTTTGTCGTTTTTCCATTCTTCCAAGGCTTCTTTATATAGGAAAATAAAGATATGTTGAAGGGCGAAGATGGAATTCCATAAATTTCATATAAGTTCTTGCATAGGCGTGTAAGAATGGTACAATAGCACAATTCACATCCCATGAAATCAGGGTAGTGGAGAGAATATTTGATCTTGTACTGACTAATATTTTCTCACGTAAAACCTTTTTGATCTTATCTTATAATCTTCAGAGGCTTCAGAATGTGTGATGATGAAGCATGCTTATAAGGACCAAAACAGTGTATCAGAGTCTATAGAATCTTGTCTTCAGAACTTTGATTTTGAGTCTTCATAACTTGTTCTTTAAAACTACAAAATGGTGGAGTGCAGAATCTTCAGAGTTTGAAAATCTTTAGAAGTTACTTTATCAAAGTCAGAATCATAAGCCATTTGAATGAGCATTCATTAAGAAGCATTAACAAAGAACATTCCGAACTTGATTTTTCTTTGTAAATGACACTTGATACCTCTTTAGAGTCAGAGTGTGTTGAGTTCAGAAACTGATGACTACAGTCACTTTTCAGAGAGTTAGAACCGGTTGAAATTCAAACACTAGACAAAATCATTAGGGTACAAAATTGTTCTCTAAAAAACAATATATTATTATCATCAAAACTAAAAGTCAGATGTATAACCAGATCTTGTTCTTACGATCTCTTCTTTTTGATGATCACAAAACCATGTA